TCAGGAGGTTGAGGCAGGAGAATTGCCTGAACCCAGGAGGCGGAGGTTGCGGTGAGCCGAGATCGCGCCATTGCACTCCAGCCTGGGTAACAAGAGCGAAACTCTGTCTCAAAAAATAAATAAATAAATAAATAAATAAAAATTTAAAAAATGAAAAAAAGAATCAGTCAACTTAGTCTAAGCACTTTGTAAGCCAGAAAGTACTATGCAAATGTAAGACACCATGATGCTGTGTAGATGGAACCAAGCAGCCTTGTTTTGCTAGAGGCAAAGTTTGTTTTTTGTGTTTTGAGCACAAAGGTGGTTTTCTTTCAGGCTTATTTCACAGTGCTCCCAAAGTGAATGACGAGCAAGCACTAGTTCACTTGGGGGTGTGGGGTTGGGGATGGGTGGAATAGGTAGTGGGGAAGAAATGAGACAGGAGAGATGGGAAATGAGTAGAACCTCTGTGAAATACAGATCAGAGAAAGGAGTGATCTAATACAGATTGGGGGATTGTATTGAGCAGAGTGCAAGTCATCAACTGCTGGACCCTCAGCAAACTCTTATTCAGTGAGGGCCCACTGTGTGCCAAGTATGTTGCCAGGGCTAAAGTGGGTCAGATACATAAAGACTTTTGAATGGAGAGCTTTTGGTAAAAGTTTGTGTTTCCAGGCAGAGAAACTCTAGGGAAGAGTGAGTTACAGAACAGGGCTCCAGGCTCGGTTGGCTATAGAAAATAAAGCTTTATTCTGAAGCTGAAGGGTTCCACTCATCTTGACTCTACCTTCCAGCTCACTCAATTTTTCCCCTTTAAGTAGTCCTGATATTTCTTGGGGTATAATCTAATGGAACCAAGATGGTGTATTTTTTTATTTTTTTAAGAGGAGGTCTTACTCTATTGCCTAGGCTGGAGTGCAGTGGTACAATCGTAGCTCCCTGTAACCTCAAGCTCCTGGGCTCAAGCAGTCCTCCCGCCTCAGTTTCCCAAGTAGCTAGGACTACAGGCATGTGCCACCCACACTCAGCTAATTTTTTAAAAATTTTTTTGTAAAGACAAAAGCTCGCTCTATTGCCCAGGCTGGTCTCCAACTCCTGGCCTCAAGCGATCTTCCCACCTCAGCCTCCCAAAGCTCTGGGGCTGCAGGCATGAGCTACTGTGCCTGGACGTGGCGTGCATCTTAATAGATGTGCAATCCAGTGGAAATGCGTGAGCTTTGCAGCCAGCTGGGTCTGAGTTAGAATCCTAGTTCTGTCACTTACTAGCTGCATGCATTAGACATGAGTCTCTATCTCAAAGTCTCAGGGTCCTCAGGTGTAAATTGGACATGGTACCCTAAGTCCTTCTTCATATGAAAGATTCAATGAGCTTATGTTTGCAGGGGTCTAGCCTCATGTCTGTACATGTTAGATCTCAGTGTTAACTCCTTCTTTCCCAAACTTTTCCTGATAATTTCAACTGCTGTCCAAGTTTCCAGTCCCTAATCTTGCCATCTTATCATTGAGGCCATATTATAGTGCCTCTAAGTAACCGTAGAAAGATTCTAGGACTAAACTAATTCTGTGGGTTACCATTTTGTCTGAGTGTTCATGAGATCTTCTGGATTTGTCTCCTCTTTTAAGTGGTTTCTGGGTCACCCAGTCCAATTGGTCACATTCCACAGAAGCCAGACATTTCTCCACGCTGGCCCCCTGTATGTGTTCTTTTCTGGTCTCTGTCTTCATAACTAGACACCTTAGCCTACTGACACAGGTGGCCCTGTAGTTCCTCCCCTAGGGCATGGAAAGAAGGGAGATAGGCGGGGCGCGGTGGCTCACGCCTGTAATCTCAGCACTTTGGGAGGCCAAGGTAGGTGGACCATGAGGTCAGAAGATCGAGACCATCCCCGCCAACATAGTGAAACCCTGTCTCTACTAAAATACAAAAAATTAGCAAGTCATGGTGGCATGTGCCTGTAGTCCCAGCTACTCGGGAGGCTAAGGCAGGGGAATCACTTGAACCTGGGAGGTGGAGGTTGCCATGAGCCAAGATTGCGCCACTGTACTCCAGCCTAGCGACAGAGCAAGACTCTGTCTCAAAAAAAAAAAAAAAAAAAAAAAAAAAAAGAAGGGAGACAAGCAGTTCTCAGTATGGGCTCCAGGCAGTACCATGCTCTCACCAATCCCTGAGGAAGAGGAATCATTGCTCTGGGTATACAGGGTTGGCTAGCAGGGGCCATGTTGGTAAGACAAAGCTGTACTCAAAATCAGCAACCATGTTTGAATGTTCCCTTGGGGCTAAACTCATGGTCCCTAGATACTGCGCCTATTACTGCATCTCCAGGTTAAACCACCTCTTTGTTTTTCATTCAGTCAATTCTGTTCTCCATGCTGCCAAGAGCATCAACATCTAAAGAGATTGATGCTGGACTTCTTTCCATTATTTCCTTTCCGGCCTTTGCAGTAGAAGATGTAAACCTTGTGAATGTGACCAAAAATGAAATTATTTCTAAGCTCCAGGTAAGCAGTAATCACTGGCGCCCTTCTGTCCTGTGTGATGTGCACTTTGACATGATGGCATGGAGTAGCTCATCCATGCCTCAGTTCCCCATGAGGTTATTGGCTTGATTTATCTAAACTGATTCATAAAGCGTTCAGAGCTGAGTCTACAGGCAAGAAAACAAAGTCTCCAAGTGATTTAGTGATTTGGTTCTCTCCTTGAGTAGCAGAACTTGCAGCCAGGAGGTACCTGTGAACCACAATTTATACCAGTACCATACTTCTAAGGCAGAGCTACTTAACCCTTTAGAGGTCACAAACAGTATATAGAGTCACTGCCAGAAAAAAAAAAAAAAAAAACTGCATGTGTCCCAATATCCTCAAACTTTACACACAATTTCAGTGGACTTGGCAATCCCAAAGTTACTTTCAGGTTGAAAAAAAATCCCTGTTTTGAGGTGAAATGCAGTAACCATGATACACTAAACTGAGAATATTATTAAATACTCCAGCCAGTTAAAACTGTCAGTAAATTATCAAAGAATATAAGTTTCCCTAAGCTGAAATCTGCATGTTGATTGTCCTACTTAGGTTCCATGAAAAATGTTTTTGTCCCTTGGAGTCCCTATGTCTCCAATCACATTCCCAAAAGAAAGCAGCTGTTGGCCGGGCACGGTGGCTCACACCCATAATCCTAGCACTTTGGGAGGCCGAGACAGGTGGATCACCTGAAGTCAGGAGTTCAAGACCAGCATGGCTAACATGGTATAACCCCGTCTCTACTAAAAATACAAAAATTAGCCAGGCGTGGTGGCATATACCTGTAATCCCAGCTACCTGGGAGGCTGAGGCAGGAGAATTGCTTGAACCCGGGAGGTGGAGGTTGCAGTGAGCCAAGATTGTGCCACTACACTCCAGCCTGGGCATCAGAGTAAGACTCTCAAAAATAAATAAAAATAAGAAAGCAGCTGTCTCAGGGTTCAGGGGGAAAAGGGGAACTCCTTTAGGTAGTTGAAGTAGGAAGGGAATGAATGCAGGGAATGAGGTGTTTACAAGAGGAGGAGGTTCTAGGCTGAGCCTCCTGGGATGACTCCCAGGAAAGTGCAGTGCTAGCCGCTAGGGCTGGGGGCGTGGTTGCCTCCATGACCGTTGCAAGAGCCGCATCTGCTGTAGCAGCCTCCACACACCTACAGACCGGAGAATGGACACCCAAAGCTGCGATCTATGGATTAGGGGGTCAAATTAATAGAGTGCTGCCCCTGCCCTCTTTTTTTTAACATCCAGGAAGCTGGGGCAGAACCCTGGAGCCTGCAGCCCAAAACCAGCAGCAACAGTCCTAAGTGCAGGAACCCCCTCCCACCTTCTGCTAACCCTTGTGGGGGTGCATCTGACCTGCAGAGCCTCCTCTGCAGCCGAAGCCTAACTTCCGGGAGTCTGGGGAATGTCCTTTTAGCTTTCCAATCTTGCAAGTAGGAGCAAACCAATCCAAGTATCTGCCTTGGTGGCTTTTCTAAATAGTGAGGGTCCTTTTAGGTCTCCATGTAATACAATAAATCAGAATGAAGGCATGGTCATTCACTGAATTCTTGGTAATTACTCTTGCAGCCCTGATACTCCAATGGAAAGTTTTGATATTCCCTTCCAAGTACTGATGAAACCGGAATTGATTTTGCTTATTACTTAAATATATTAATAACTATACTGACAGCAAAGAACACTAGGTATAAAACTCATTACTAAAAGATTCATGGGAAAGTGGGTGCAGGGCTGACTTGAATTAAAAAGGTAATGAAATTCCTCTGAGCTCATCAAATGTACTTTCTCTTATTAGGGGCGTTATGGATGCTGTCGCTTCCTTCGAGATGGTTATAAAACTCCAAGAGAGGTTGTATTTAAAATTGTTTCTTATGCTTCCTTAACTGTTTCATCTCTAAGTTGCCACTGTGTTGTTCTCCCTCTATTGATTATATGTTGGAATACTGGAAAGGGAAGTGTTAATTTTGGAGTCAGTAAGCCTGGAGCCAGGCAATAGAATAGTGTCTTCAGTAGGGACAGTGTGCTGGTCATTTAAAACCAGCTTGTAGGTCAGGTGCAGTGGCCTGTAATCCCAACACTTGGGGAGGCTGAGGAAGGAGGATCACTTGAGCCCAGAAGTTTGAGACCAGTCTGGGCAACATAGTGAGACCTTGTCTCTACAAAAAAAAATAAACAAAATTAGCCAGGCGTGATGGCAGGTCCCAGCAATTTGGGAGGCTGAGGTGGGAGGATCACTTGAGCCCAGGAAGTCAGGGCTGCAATGAGCAGAGATCACACCATTGCACTTGAACCTGGGTGACAGAGTGAGACCCTGTCTCAAAAAAATATAAATTTCTTTAAAATTTTAAAAATAAATAAAACCAGCTTGTAGACAAGGACAACCAATTCTGTGGCTCACACATTTTTCTTAAAGACCAACTGTGGTCCCCTCCTTGGGTTTCTTTGCCACAGTGACTAATATAATGATATAAATCAGATCATCTGCCAAACTTGGTGGTAGACATATTGCTATTTCTCTGTTAGAGATATAGGAAGCTTTCGTATAGTAAACTACCAAGGAGTCTTGTGTATGTTTCTCACTTACTTTCTGAAATGTTACCATGGAAAACTGCCAAAAACAGCATCTCCTCATTATAGTAAAATTCTACTCATGCCAGCCTCAAAGCTGTAAAAATCAGACAAGCATGGGAAACGTTGTGAGGCACAGGGTGTTACATATGTACTCTGATTTCACCTTTAAAAAGTTTGACTTATTTGATTCTAGGACCCTAATCGACTGCATTATGACCCTGCTGAACTCAAGCTCTTTGAAAACATTGAATGTGAGTGGCCTGTGTTCTGGACATATTTTATAATAGATGGAGTCTTCAATAGTGATGCTGTTCAGGTGAGACAATGCTGGGTGTTATGTTGATAATTATTTTCATTCCACTGTTGTACGATTATTATTAGAACATAGGGTAATACAAGAATTTAGGTCACCGTTTGATTTATCTGTTCCCACTTAGCAAACTTTCCCATAACTGAGTGAATTAAAACAACAGTATTTTATTTATTTGCTCATGATTCTGCGATTTGGGCAGAGCCCAGCAGGGACAGATTGTCTCTACTTTACCTGCTGTCAGCTGGGATGGTTCCATGTGAAGTAGAGAATCCATTTCCAAGATAGCCTCACTCACATGGCCAGTTGATGCTGGCTAGCAGCCGACACTGGGAGCTCAGCTGTGCTGTTGGCTGAGGCCATGGTTCTCCTCCACGTGGCTAGCTTGGGCTTCTCACAAAATTGTAGTCCCTGGGCCATTAGTTTTACATGTTGGTTGTTTTCTCCCCAGAACACAAAAGCAGAAGCTGCTAAGCTTCCTTAAGTGTTAGGCCCGGAAGTGACAAAATGTCACTTTCATCACATTCTGTTGGTTCAAGGGCCATCGCATATTCAAGTGGGAGGGGACTAGACAAGGGCATGAGTCCTAGGAGGCGTGGTTCCCTGGGGTCTGGCAAGAACGGTCCATCATAGACAGGTTTTGTTGTTGCCGTTGTTCTTTCCAGATCAGCCAGTGGTTTTGCTGTCTTTAGCCCTAGCTTGGGGAGCTCTTCTATAACATCTTACTTTGTGTAACAGCCTCCTAACTTGAATCTCAACCTCTGGCCTGGCTCCCTGCTGTTTCCATTCTTCTCACCCGTGGCAGAGTGATCTTATTAGAAGGCAAATTAGGTTATGATACTGCCTTACTTGAAAGCTATGAATGGCTTTCTGGTTCCTTTTGGGATGAAGTACAAGCAATTCATGCATTTTGTGGGGTTCCATATGATCTGATCCCTGTTTTCACCCCTTTAGCCTCATTTTTTAGTGCTTCTTTCTTTTCTTGAGTTCTGTGATCCAGTCCTTTAAACAGGCCATGTGCCCTCCTGTCTTCTCAAAGGCCTAGGACATTCTTTTCTTCCCCAGTTGTCCCTCCCCCTTCCCTTGGTTCAATGTGAGTGTGTCTTCTTTTGGAAAGCCTTCTCTGACCTTTAAAGCTGGGGCAGGTGCCCCTGTGCCCCATAACAACTGTAACAGCATGGGTCACACTATGTTGTATCTCCCACTTACCTGTCAAAGGACCCTGGTAGAGGCCATCTCTCTCCAGCTCACGGGTATAATCCCTGTGCCTAGTGCATTGTACATGCACAGTAAACATAAGCAACACTCATTTGTTCAAGACCTATCTCTTTAGCTTCTGCTTGGTACCATGCTCTGTGCTGAGCCCTGAGCCTACTTCGTTGAGCAGAACCAACCTGTCCTTGTGCAACTTACATGAATGACCGACATCATAGATGCTTTGCCATTTTTTTCAACTGGTTTTGATCACGTTTGGTGGAAGTGGGGATGATCAATCAGAGATCCATTTTAGCTCTTGAAAGTTCTGCCCAGGAATGCTGGGGGCTTCAGAACCAGCAGTTAGCTGTAAATGTTAATATTCTCCCACTGTTGATGCTTTCTCTTAGGCTTCAGTGACAATCTTAGATTATCTGTCATTTTATCCCAGAATTGAAAGATCTCAAAAGAATTGACTTAGAATTTCCATTGTGAACAGACTTAGCAATGATGGGGGGAAAGAACACTCAGGGGAGGAAAATGACTATGCTTAGCATCTTGTTTAAGCCTCATGTAACCTATCCTACTACACGTGTGCTGTCTCTCCCACTTGCTGCCCAATGACATTTTTAATATGGGGTCAACTTTTTTAGCTCCCACACATGAGGAAGAACATGCGGCATCTTTCTGTGCCTGGCTTAGTGAAATAAGTGAAATTAACACAATGTTAGGTGAAATTAACACAGTGACCTCAAGTTCTATCCATGTTACTGCAAATGACAGAATGTTATTCTTTTGTTATGGCTGAATAGTAATGAATGCCTCTTAAGTGGAAAACTTCCCAAGAGGTAGAAATGGGATACACTGCTTAAGATACTGCTTCCCCCACAAGAAGTTTATGATCCGGTCGCTAAGACAAAATTTTAAATATATGATGGGTTAAGAGTGAAATAATTACATGATGAGTTAAAGACAGCATAGGAAAGACATCTGATACATGGTGTAGATGTGACTACTGGAGGAATTTTGAGGAAGAAACAGCTACTGCATGATGGGTGCTCTGTCCCTTTTCTGGAAGCGTGACAGGTGAGCTTAGACACACTCCTGGGAGGAACAGCTGATAGTGTTTAGCTCCTCCTAACACTGTAAGTGTGCCTCCTGCACTCCTGGAGCTGAGGGTATTTGTGCCCTGTATCCTAACTCTAATCTGTTGCCATGAGAGTTTTTGTCTATGTTGCACCGCTGTTAGAGCATTCATGACCAGACCTCCTTCCTTCCATGGATGATGGGGCTGTTTTCCAGGTCCAAGAGTACCGAGAGGCCCTAGAGGGAATACTCATCAGAGGCAAGAATGGGATCCGCCTGGTGCCAGAACTCTACGCTGTCCCGCCTAACAAGGTAACCCGGTGGCAGGGGGCCCTTTGCACCGCTTATCTAGAACTAAGTGACTCGTTGCTTGGTCTGTTGGTATTCTTTATCCCTCTTTTTGATTTAATGAACACCTTTTCTCCAAACGTGATTTCAAAAGCCCTAGGTAGGCTGGGCATGGTGGCTCATGCCTGTAATCCCAGCACTTTGGGAGGCTAAGGCGGGTGGATTACTTGAGGTCAGCAGTTTGAGGCCAGCCTGGCCAACATGGTGAAACCCCATCTCCCATCTCCACTTAAAAAAAAAAAATTAATTAACCAGGCATGGTGGAACATGCCTGTAGTCCCAGCTACTGAGGAGGCTGAGGCAAGAGAATCACTTGATCCCAGGAGGTAGAGGTCGCAGTGAGCTGAGATCATGCCACTGCACTCCAGCCTGGGCTACAGAGCAAGACTCCATCTCAAAAAAAAAAAAAAAAAAAAAAAACAAAACCCTAGGTAGTGTTCCTGTCTATCCCAAGGAAACATGGCTTTGGAAAAATATGTGGAACGTGCTTGACCATGGGTATCATGTGGAGGCAGCAGTTGAAGACCTTCAAAGGCTACCTGTCCCTCCCGCAACCCTGACACAGGCTCTCTAAAGAACATAAACCTCTGTTGTGCACCATGTTTTTACACACTTCCACAGACGAAGAAGCCAGATGTACAGGGATATTCAGAATCTCTTCCTTTGATTCAAGCAGTTTGCAAGCTAAAGTTTGAATAATCAGAAGCTATTCTACATCTGGGAGAGAAAAACAGTCCAGTTTCAAGAAAATACCCAAACATAGTTTTATTCTTTCAAGTTTTCTAAATTGGCTCAGGATGGACCTATTATCTTGGCAGGAAGATTTCTCTGTCAATATCTCATGGTTAAAAGAGAAGAGTTCTTGGTTCTAGGCTGTCCCTCGGATGCTCCTGGTGCCTCAAAGCTTGATTATCGTGTTTGTGGGATGAAAAGGCCTTCAGAGGGCTGTGTCTTCCCCCAAATCACCAGGGCCTGGAGGAGGTCGTAAGCCAGCAGAGGCCTGGCATACAGCGACTTGGGTTTAGGTGTTCTGTGGTTAAATCAGGCCCACACGCACATGGCCATAGAACTGGCAGGGCCTTTTAAAGTGTCTGCCTTAGCTCAGCTAGGCTGTGGAACCTGTCAGAGCTCACATAGCACTGGGCTCTGCTCTGGGGCCAGAACCCAGGTTCAGGGCCTTGCTGTCACCCCATGCTGCCTCCTAATGGGTGGTACGTTTCTGGATAATGGAAGTATCCACAGTGGATGCTCTCACTAGGCTTCTGAAAGCAGTGGTATAGTGGACTTCTTTACTTTTCCAGGAGTCTGATACTTGGTCCTTAAAGCAAAAGAGGTACCACCATGTATCACTTTGGGCGATATTTTCATCTAAAAGGAACTATTATGTGTTAGATCATTGAAACAGTTAAACCAAGTAGAAAATCAAAGGAAAGAGTTGACTTTCCGTGAGTAGAATGTGCTATTGCCGGAAGTATTCAGGTTTTTGCATTTATATTAGCCCATCTGGTTCACTGGGCCACTTGAGGTGGCCACTTGCTCCAGGTAGGCTCACCAAGTCCCACCAGCCTGGACCCTTAGCCCTGAGCTCCGGGATGTTGATGGCCCCTCATCCCATCATGAACTGACAGCCCACATCATCCGAGCTCTCTCAGGACTGATTTTGTTCCAGGGTTAAGGGCCAGACTTTGGACAGGAACTGTCTTCCCTCACTCTGCGGATCAGTCCAGGGAGCCTGCTGGGGCTGTTCCCTGTAAGTGTCCTCAGCCTAGATTCCCTGCAAATGAGTGCATTCTTTTTAGTACACGTGCTGCAGTGTGTGGGTTGGGGCAGGGCTGGCAGTGGAGGCTGGGTGACCTAGCAGCTACGTGTTCATATCCCCCTTCAGGTTGCTCCTTTCCCAGTACTGAGGCATTTGGCAAAACAGAATTGGTAATGAGAGGTTGTTTGGAACCTAGAAGCAGAGCAAGGGAAAATAAATGCCTTCAGGGGTATTTTACTTATTCTGTGGTAGAGAAGAGGCATGCAAACTAGAGGGCACGTTTTACTGACTGTGGTAAATGCTAGATGTTATGAGCTACCCTTTCTTTCTTTCTGATGAGCAGTGCTGACTACACATTGTAAAAAATTACTCTATGACTTTCTCTCTTCTAAACTCCACACTGACCTTTGGGTTTCTGCATGTCATTACAATGTCCTTAGTGTGTGTATGCAGGTGTGCCAGGCACCAATTTTGCACACTCTTTGACACTGATTGAATTTTGTGTTGGCTGCTTCCAGATGGCAGCTGGGAAGGTTCCTCAGTCACATCAATAACATGTAGAGACCGCCGGGTAGGATTTCTGCACACAGGGCCACCACAGGGCCATGTGGCACCTGTGTGCAAATTAGATAAAGGGGCTCATCAGAGTGGCAGCAGCCCCAGGCCAGGGTGGCATGCAGCTTGGATGTCAGCCCCACTCATTTCCTCAGCTGGAGGTGCTTGCACAGGGCACCGCCTTGCATGAGGCCCTCTGTGGACAACTGGAGACAGTGAAACTTCCTGCAAACATGAATTGAGCACCAGCTCTGTGGCAGGCACCAGGCTAGCTACTGGGTCACAAGGGGGGCTACAGCACCAGCTCTGTCCCCATGAGCTTGCAGGTTAGCGGGGGCCAGAGGATCTGGCCTATGAGATGGAGGGCAGCAGAGGCGGCAGCAAAGGCATGGCACCTTTGAGGACCTGTGGGCAGTTCGGAAGGACCAGTGTGCAGAGAGGCGGAGAGGGACGCCTCCATGTGGGGCAGGAGCTGGCTTATGGGTAGGAAGAGTGCAAATCCAGGCTGTCTTGTGACCTGGACACCTTGTCTGCTCTCTGCTCTTTGCATTGAATATTTCTCATTCTAGATCTTTGCAGTTATTTGTTTTTGTTTTTGAGACAGAGTCTCCCTCTGTCACCCAGGCTAGAGTGCAGTGGCGCAATGTTGGCTCACTGCAACCTCCTGGGTTCAAGCAATTCTCCTGCCTCAGCCTCCCAAGTATCTGGAACTACAAGCATTTGCCACCATGCCCAACTGATTTTTGTATTTTTAGTCAAGACAGGCTTTCGCCGTGTTGGCCAGGCTGGTCTTAAACTCCTAGCCTCAGGTGATCCGCCCACCTCGGCTTCCCAAAGTGCTGGGATTATAGGCGTGAGCCACCGTGCCAACCTAGCAGTCTTTCTTAACAGGACTTATATTTCAAATAGTTTTCTCATACTACCTGATTATCATACAAGTAATTCTGTACACTACAAAACATTAGGATTCTGTAGAAAGAAGAAAACATTATCTCTAATTCTACTACCCAAAGATTATGACATTTTGGAGAATCTTCCACACTTTTATCCTATTGGATTATTTGATTACTAATGACATTTAATTCTGTTCAGTTCATGCACTTAAGTTTTTCTTTTTTTAAAAAAAGTTTTTAGTTTATTAATTTTAGTTTTTAAACCCATCTTTTTTTTTTTTAAATTGTACTTTAGATTCTGGGGTACCTGTGCATATCATGCAGGATTGTTGCATAGGTACATACATGGCAAGGTGGCTTGCTGCAGTTTTACTAAAATATATTAATAACATCACTGATTAATCCACAAGCAGAAAATGACTCCCCTGTGGTGTGATGTTCCCCTTGGGAGAAAGATGTTGCCTGTTTCCTTTGGTTGACTTATGTTTTCTGGAGGAAAAAAGCAGCCACTGACATTACCCCCAACCAATGATGTGATGGCTAAAATGGCAAAGCGCAGCATGGAGTTTAGAAGAGAGAAGGTTGTGGACTAGCTTACAATGCGCAGCCAGCTCTGTCCATAAAGCACCAAAGTTGATTTTGCTGAGACAGAAGCCCCCAGTGGATTGAGCTTTTTGAGGCCCTGAAGGAGCAGTTGCAGGCTAGTAGTGCAAGTGTTTTTCCACAGTAAATAGTGCCACCTTCTGGCAGTTCTCCTGCGTTAGAGGCACAGTTTATAAACCCCTAGGGATGGCTTCCAGTGATGCACCGCCACAGCTGGAGGCTGATGTTTTCCATCATTTCACCTATAATGCAGCCAAATGTAAGCATGAGCTGTGAGCCTTCTCACAGCCAGAGCCGTGCCACAAAGAAGGCAGGCCAGACATCTGGTGCTCATGACCTTGCATTTGCCTGTAGGAAGGACACTTGTCCAGAACCAGGCCGCAATTTGACTTCCACCTCCGCTGCTTTATATATAGCCTTGCAGCCCTGAGGAAGGAGCTTGCGCCCCAGTATCCTAGCGCCTGCATGGAATTGGCCTGGAGGATGAATACCATTCTGTAAATCATCAGCGCACTCCCCAGGGTCAGGTATCATGGACATTTTATCCTCTGAGTTTCTGACTTTGGATTTGTTTCTCTTTCCAGGTAGATGAAGAGTACAAGAACCCTCACACTGTGGACCGAGTTCCTATGGGGAAGGTGCCTCATCTGTGGGGCCAATCTTTGTACATCCTCAGCTCACTGTTGGCAGAGGTAGGGGGCTTGGTGGCCTCACAGACTGTAAACCATGTGATTGGAGGTTCAGGGAACCCCGGAAGGGCACAGGGACTCTCTGCCAGGGGTACATGCGGATGTCTTTTGCATCTTCATGCGTTTAAGGTCATCCGGACCGTGTTGGCTCCAGGGTTCGACTCCTGGCCTTGTGTGTCCATATTTCCATGAAACCAGCTCAGGTCCAGGCAGGCCCAGCTCTCCCCATCGCCTCTGCCAGCATTCCTCCTCTGTGGTTGGAACCTGTTTCACGTGATGGTCAGAGGAGCTGGAAGCTTTTTGGCCAGGATTATTAGCACATCTGATCCTAGAAGATACAAGATTTGGGAAATGACTAGATCAGCCCCAGCTGCCCCTGCCCCAGTCCTAGTTGCAGGAAGTGCAAGAACCACAGATCTCTCTACAGAAAGAGGCGGCAGGCCAGATTTTCTCTGGTGGATTTTGTGTCAGGTATCTCCTCAGACAACCCACAGCACCCTTCCTTCTGCAGACAACTGCCTCTGGACACCACTTTTTGTTCCGTATTGACTTGTCCCCAGGCTTTTGTTTTAATACGCAAATACTCTGGAGTTGCCTCAGAATGAATCCCCCAGTCCTCAGTATGAGTTACCTTAACAGATGTCCTTCCTGAGAGGGTCCCGCTCAGCTGAGTGCGAGGAGAAGTGGGGAGGGGAAGGAGCCCAGGGAAGGGTCAAGGGGCTGCCGGGCTCTAGAAAAGGCCGAAAGGGTGGTGGGTCAGCATGCCACCGGGTTCCCAGAGTGTCGAAGCCCAGGATGAAAGATACCACCGTGGAAGCAGCCCTCTGGAACTCTAGCAGCCAAGCTGGAGCAGTTGTTTCATGGGTACCTCTAGACTCCCCAGGGTCCTGGTCATGTCTTTGGAGTAGGTGTTGTGTCTTCCACTCCTGTGTTTATTAGCAGGGAAAATGCATATATCTCCTTTGAAAGCCAGCCCTCTCTCTCAGTAGTTCTCTGACTCTGGGCGAGTTTTTAACCTCTCTGGGCCTTGGTTTCCTCATCTGTAAAGTGAAAAAGTTGGACTTGATCATCTCTGCGATACCTTCCAGCTGTGATTTCTGTATCAGTGAGATGGGAAACCAGTAACTCCCCTCCCCTGCTTTCTGCTTTCTGATATGAAGGCTTTCTCTGGGCCCAGTACTAGGCCCATTTCTCCTCAGAACTCCCAGAATACCTTGATCCTCCTTCTCGGGGCTCAGATCATTTGTAGAAAGTACAAGGAGGTCCATATTCGAAGAGAATACTTTGCAAGCAAGTGGGGGTGGTGGGGCCAAGTTCCCACTCTGCCACTTCCCTTGAGTCATTACCTTGGTTTTCCCACCTGTACAGTGATGACGGTGGTAGTATAGGGGCCAAGGCGTTCCCCTAAAAGTTTGATGAAAAGTCGCTGACACGAGGCAGATTGATTTATAAGAAAAAAGTGCATGCAGATGTACTTAACATGTATACAGGGGAGCCTTCAGAATGAAGACCCCAAGATCTAGGGGAAATTGTCCATTTTTACACATAGTTTCAACAAAGTATGGACAGCTGTGTATAAATGTGATTACCCAAAAAGGGCCCAATCGAATACCAATGGCCTGAGTGGGGAAACCCAGCGAGGTCTTTCTGTCTAGATTCTTCTTGGCCTCTCTGTGCAGCACTCCTTCCTGCTGGGTGTGGGGCCCTTATGACCTACAGCCAAACAAGGTAGGTCAGGGAATTTTTTATGGCTAGTTTTTACAGAGAATATTTTTAGGTTTTTTTTGGCTGGCTTTGGGAAAAAGGGATTCTGATTTCTATGCCCCGCCTTTGGGAAGAGGGATTCTAGTTTCCAGGGTGCCTCCGGGAGAATGGACTGAGTGAGGGAGGCAGGAGAAGGTCAGAGGAAAGCTTTTGCTTCTGAGGCTGCTGCTGAGGCTTTCATTTGTGGGGGTGTTTTCCGAGCCCCAACAGTAGTGCCTACCTGTCAGGAGACATAAATGTGACAGTCCACATATAGTGACTCAACACAATGCCTGGCACGTTACTGAGAGCTCAAATAGTATTGGTTATCATTCTTTTTGCTCATACAAGATGGTGGCATATTCGACGAGCCCTAGAGAGCTAGGTGCAAAAATGCAATACGTTTATCAGTGGCGATTTGAACGATGTTACTCTGTTTCACAGAAAATAAGCAACTGACTCGAAAAATATTAAAAAAAAGCATTGAATATGTTGAGCCTCAAAATATTTCGTTTTCACACTTCAGTTTAAGATGAAATTTAACTTAATATTTCATAGTGTTAATGTTCCTTTTTTCATAGGGATTCCTTGCCACTGGTGAAATCGATCCCTTAAATAGAAGATTTTCCACTTCAGTCAAACCTGATGTTGTGGTACAAGGTTTGTGAGTGTGTTTGCTATTTATGTTTAACTTTGTAAAACCAATGTTATTTTAATTCATAGTGTTTCCTAGTTTCTTATTTCATTTTTTAGAATTGTGTATGTGCCTATGCTTTAGCATGTAGCAGTTCTGTCAGATGCCTTGTATAACTCAGTGGCTCCCAAATGCAACAGAATTCTTCCCAACCACAAAATGACTTTCTACAAAGCAATTGTTTTCTTGAATATAAACCTTGATTGCAAGTTGGGCACAAGTGATTCATTGTGCGTCATTTTTCATAATCATTATTCTTTGAAAAATAGAGCCTAAGCCTGGTAAAAACACAGAAGCCAACTGAAGGTCGTTCATTCCTCCCTTGGAGTCCTGACGTCTTTCCGCCTTTTGCCTGTATCCACCTTTCCTCCCCCTCCTCTCCAGCCAACCCTTCTCCTGGAGAGGTGGGACACCGGCCCAGGCTACTGCTGCCATCCACCTAGCAAGTGATTTCACCCTTCTGTGCCTCAGGGTCATCAAGACTTGAGCTCCCTCTCTGGGGCTTCCTAAGATGGACTGAGATTGCAGTGGGGAAAGTGCTTGGTGTAGTGCCTGGGGTATGGTGTGCACCCGGGTGCAGCTGTTCCTCTTCCTACCTTCCCTCTTAGGGAGGACCTCCTGGCAGTCCGGTAACATTCTGTGTGCCCCATAGAGCACACCATCTGTTGGAAATAGATGTTGGAAGTAGATGCTTGGTGCCACAAAGAAAAATTAGCACTGAGACAAAGGATCTTTCAGCAACACAATTTTTTACTTCCTGGACTGCAGGAAGAATACTCACTAGCCATGTTGCCATGAGAATACAAAGAACAAAGAACACACACAAATTTATCCCTTTTACATTTGGGGCTGTCCTTACTGCTGTGTTTGAACTCCATTGGCTGGAGTTCTAATGTCATAGCACGTTGTGTGTACACCTTATTGCCCCTAAATGAGACTGTATATTTCTTAATGACAAGGCTCATATCATTCTTGCAATTTCTATGTTGATTGGCACATACACACCCATACGTTGAAAATGGTGATTGAACAAAATGGCAAGCATTTCTCTGTGGCCACTGGTTCATTTTGCTTTGGGGGCTCATGCTGTGGTGAGATGAGCTGATATCACCCAGTCAGTAGAGCCATGAGATACACCTATCACAACATTCTGATTAGGTAAAGTTTGTGAGGATGATCATCATCTCCACCTTATACACGAGGCTTAGAAGTTCACCCCCCTCAAGGAGCCACAGCTGACAGCTGAAGGTGTGAAACCATTCCTGACTTCCAGGCGGACTGATCCAGCTGGACTCCATTGTCCCTGCGCTAAGCCAGAGCACGGCCTGCTAATTAATCCCTTGAATCGACAAGACCATTTTTCTAACTGCAGACTGGGGCACTTTGATGGGTGTTCACTAGCATTTGTTTAGTGTAACAGAACAGCGTAGAAATTCCCAGGTCAGGCATAGAGTAGGGGAAGTGCAGTTTTAGAACCTTAGCCACATCCTGCTGCACAGATCGTGAGGCTCCCAGGCCTCCCCCAAAACCATTGCTCTAAAGGAGTTACTCCTACAGAGAGTGGCTGCTGGGGTTTTGATCATTGTGGAGTCTCACATGTCATTGGAAGCTTTAGAAGAGACAGGTGTTCAGGGAAGCCACCCAGCCAGCCCTGCATGGCTGATGCTCCCATTTGCTGAGGGCCTGGGAGATGAGGTTTCGGTCCACGTGCAGCTGTCACTGGCCAGTTGCATATGCAAGGCTTCCCTTGGGCCTTGTTGTGAAGGTCAGATGAGATAATGGCTATGAAAATACTTGAAAAGGCATCAAGTGCCATGTAAATAGAAGGAGGTGGCACTCAGCTCTCAACTGCATGTATATGTATTGTACATTCCACCCTGCCAGCCCGTGGGTACAGTGATTGTACTTACCGGTAGCCAATCCTGCACCGCCCTGAGCCTCTCCAGCCCCCACCACAGCTGGACATGGCACCAACCTCTCTCCCTGTGGCCATGCTCCCCTTTTCCAGTCCCGTCCCTGGAGTCCTTCCCTTTGCCAAAGCGCTGTCCCTTCTGAGAAAGGCTAGCAATACTAGTACAGCAGGTGCAGACTTAGCCGATCCTGGGGGTTCCCCAGTGACAGCCTCCCTCTTCCATGGGCCCCCAGGTCCCAGGCACTATGAGCTCCCTGTCTGCTGGAGAGCCAGGTGCCCAGCCTCTCCCACCAGAGATGGGGCCCAGGCCAGCCCTGGGGTGATTTTTCCCCACCAGTGGGGCCCTGTGCAGGGGTTCTGAATGGGCCAGGCTGTTCCACTACCACCAGCATCCCCACTCACAGGCCCACTTTGCTTTCTCTAGAGGGATATCTCTTCCTTCTCGCCCCCTCAATCAGAGCTTCCCCTGCCAGCAGATACCCCATCTTACTTTTCTTTTCCCCGTCCTTTGGGATCAGGGGCACAGGCTTCTGGCATCCTCCAAGCAGAGCTGTTTCCACTCCTGACCCTACACGAAAAGGGACACCAGGCAGGTTTAGAACAGTTGCAGACCCAGAGGGAGGCAGGACATTACATGAGACTGGGTGACTTGGCTTGGGACTTACTGAGGAATAGCTTCTAGAAGTCTCTTATCAGACTGTCTTGCACATTGAGGGCACTTGATAAATAGGCCTCAGGGGTGTTGAGGGGTGGCAAGGACAGAACGGGGAGGAGCAGCAGGACAAATGCTGTCATTTCCAAATCCAGTCATGGCATGGAAGAGCATGCTAATGTGTATGTCACCAGGCGGAAGAGAGCAGTAAGGAACGTGTGTCCATAAGAGACAAGAGTCATGAGCTACCACTCATTCTGTGCTCTTGTTCACAGTTACTGTTTTGGCAGAAAACAATCACATTAAGAACTTGTTGAGGAAACACGGGGTGAACGTCCAGAGTATCGCGGACATTCATCCAATTCGAGTCCAGCCAGGCCGGATTCTTAGTCACATATATGCCAAGCTTGGTAGGTTTGTGGAAATTACTAGGGCATTTTTGGCTTGGGGACATCTCGGTTCAAGGTCTGGGGTCTGAGGGAAACTGTGATATATGTAAGTTCTAATGAGTTGGACAAAACACTAAAGTGGGCAGTTCCATGCTTTGGTGTGAAGAGGAACAGGCGAACCAGCATGCTCTTCCCACACCCGTTCAGTGGGTACCAGCACAGGTGGCCACAGCATTCGCTGGATCTGTTGTAAAGTAAGGAGCCACCTTGGAAAATTCACAATTGGGAAAGTCATTTGTGTCTTGATGATGCTTCTCATGTTTACCTTTAGTATCAGAAAATGCTCATTTACCCATTAAAATGGGAGGAGGTTCTCTATGCTTTTTCTTTTATTTTTTTGAGGTGGAGTCTCGCTCTATCACCAGATTAGAGTGCAGTGGCATGATCTCAGCTCACTGCAACGTCTGCCTCCTGGGTTCAAGCGATTCTTCTGCCTCAGCCTCCCAAGTAGCTGGGATTACAGGCGTGCCCACCACACCTGGCTCATTTTTGTATTTTTAGTAGAGATGGGCTTTCACCATGTTGGCCAGGACTGTCTCAATCTCTTGACCTTGTGATCCACCTGCCTTGGCCTCCCAAAGTGCTGGGATTACAGGCATGAGCCACCACGCCCGGCCTCTCTCTGCTTTTTCTAGAATCTGACTTTGTTTACTATGATGGCTCAATACTAAATAAATCAAAAGTAAACGTTCTGTAATCCTTTTAGTAGTTTTATTCCATGCAGTTCCAACTGAGTACTGTTCCTATACATTCATGAAAAGAAGGGAGGTAGGATTTGTTTTTATATTCAGCTCTGTGCCATTTTAAAGGATGATGGCAATAGAATAACCAAGCCCCAAAGTAGGTTGTCTAATCTAGAAATGAGCTCAGTCTTAGCCTGAGTCGCCTGGATTACTTGTTACTGTATTTCCTCTAACTCCGGTTTCTCTTTTACTCTTCAAACAGGACGGAATAAGAATATGAATTTGAGTGGGCGACCGTATCGACATATTGGTGTCCTTGGAACCTCTAAACTATATGTGATTAGGAACCAAATCTTTACTTTTACACCCCAGGTGAGGAGAGCAGGCCAACAGCAAGCCAATGAGCTTCTTTTTTTACTTACATTCTCTTGGCTGTCTGGTAAGCTTTTCCCCTATGAATATGGCAGAATTCTGCATGCATAGGTTCAAATAGAGACATGAGAAATGACACACAGTGTCTGGTACAAGTCTGCCCATAGTAGGTACTCAGTAAATGTTGATTGAGTCACGTGTGCCATCACTTCCGGTCATAAATAGTAGTGAAACTCAGACTACTTTAGAGGTTTGCTGTTGACATGTCACCTGACACTTGACTTACAGTCCTTGTGCCCCTAATCACAGTCATCTCTGACCCTTATGCAAGCTGTCATCAGACCCTCTGCTAACACACAGCCACGCTGATTTTCTGGCCCCACTCCCCTTACTGGGTTACTGAGTATACTGATTATAGAACTTATCTGCAGAGCTTTGGGTTCCAAAGAAAACTAGTCCTGTGGAAGTACCTAGAAAATGTTTTTCACCCATTTGGGCAGCGAGAAAGACCAACGGTGGGATCACTTTGGCCACGCGGGGCACAGCCCCAGCTCACCTGGGCACAGGGGTGGTCATGGGGTCTTGGAGCACTAGCCCCAAACTGCTCTTTTTCATCCTAGCCCCTGCTCCTCACTGAAATCTTGCAAGCCATTTCCTTTAGTAACAGATTTCATTTCAGAGCTGAGCCTGCGCTAGTCCAGAGGCCAAGAGAACAATTTGATTTGTTCTCAACATCTGGCAGCAGTGTCTTTAGGTGACATTAACCAAAGCTATCAATCAGGTAAACAGAGTGTCCACCTCTCACCTGCTCACAGTGCCCCCACTTGGAAAGCATCTTCGAACCCATAGCCCTGGAAAGAATAGGAATTAAGGAGTTATTGATTTGCTTTCAAAGACAGTCGTGTTGGGCAAGATGCTTAAATCCCCATCTGAGGTGCTGAAAATAAATCTAGCACCACACCTTTCTCTTCCACACTATAGCGACTGCTCCTGGGCCGACAGCAGACCGATTTGTCTGATCTAGAGCAGGGCAGCCCAGTGACCTAGTGGATTGAAACCAGCACTGAGTTTCTTGCCTGGCGATAAAACCCCAGGATTAGTGCTGCCCTGAGTGTCAGCTGGTGTTTCAGGTAAATGAAGGGTGGCCGTTGACCTGGCCTCTTCTGACTTTCAGTTCACTGACCAGCATCACTTCTACCTGGCCCTCGATAATGAGATGATCGTGGAGATGCTGAGGATCGAGCTGGCCTACCTGTGCACCTGCTGGAGGATGACGGGCAGACCCACGCTCACCTTCCCTATCAGCCGCACCATGCTCAGTAACTCCAGGGATTTCAGCAGGCTCCCTCCTGCTCCAGGGGTGGTTTGGGCTTTTACAAATGTTTGAAATGACTCCCATGGCCACAACAAAGCACTGAAGGGGTTTCTTAGCAGTTTGGTTTTTTATCTTGGGAATCTTCTAGGCCAGAAGTATTTTAATTAGATGGTGTTGATGAAAATGTTTCAGTGCATACCGGGGGAAAAAAGTCTTCCCAGACTAAACTAATTCATCCCTTTCTTTTTTTCCTTAGCAAATGATGGTTCAGACATTCATTCTGCTGTGCTTTCCACAATTAGAAAACTAGAGGATGGGTATTTTGGAGGAGCCAGGTAATTTGTGATTTAAAAAAAAAAAATAAGAGTAGCGCTGACCTTTCTTAAAGTCCTGCTGCCCTTGTCCCGCTTTTCATATTAATTGTTGAACCTAAAAGCATGGAGTTTTAGAGTAAGCAGGAAGTTAACACTTCTCTAATCCAGTCTCCTGTGTGAAACTTGGCTTATCTCTGAAATAGCACTCAGCTGATATCTTTTAAGCTTTACAGGCACCAGAAGGCCTCAGACATAGGGAGGTGAACCCATCAAGTCCCTCTGAAGTGTCCATTCTTCTTGGAACACGTGTATGGGATTCTGCGTATGTTTCTCTTAAAAGGTGTGGAAGAAAATACTCAGTGCCTAGGATCTGGCAGGGTCCCAATAAACGCTCCTTGCACCAACTTTAGTATGCTATCACCCTAAGATTCATTTGCAGGCTGGGCGTAGCGGCTCATGCCTATAATCCCAGCACTTTGGGAGGCTGAGGCGGGTAGATCATGAGGTCAGGAGATCAAGACCATCCTGGCTAACACAGTGAAACCCCATCTCTACTAAAAATGCAAAAAATTAGCCAGGCATGGTGGCATGCACCTATAATCACAGCTACTTGGGAGGCTGAGGCAGGAGACTCGCTTGAACCTGGGAGGTAGAGGTTGCAGTAAGCGGAGATTGCACCACTGCACTCCAGCCTGGGCAACAGAGCGAGACTCTGTCTCAAAAAAAAAAAAAAAAAAGACTCATTTGCAGGATGTGGTAAATTCCTTAGAGCCCTGGGAGCAGAGCACCTGAATGAGCCTGCATAGGTCACTGTTCCCTCACCCTCTGTGGAATGAGCCACCTTCTGGTTTAGAGGCCTGGATTAGGGCAGATGGCACCTATATTTTCTGCTTAAGCACCTTAAGTGATGGAGGGCTTACCCTCCACGAAAGCCCCTTCCATTTTTGTGCCCACTGTTACAAGGCAGAGGTTTTCTCTGTAGTGTCTCTTCTCTCATCTCCCTGCATCCCCTAGGATATACCAGAAGGGCCCCAAGAGACACCGTGGGCCAGGCACAGTGGCTCACCCCTGTAATCTCAGCACTTTGGGAGGCCAAGGCGGGCAGATCACCTGAGGTCAGGAGTTTGAGACCAGCCTTGCCAAAATGGTGAAACCCTGTTTCTACTAAAAATACAAAATTTAGCCAGGCATGGTGGTGGGTGCCTATAATCCCAGCTACTCTGGAGGCTGGGGCAGGAGAATTGCTTGAACCCGGGAGGTGGAGGCTGCAGTGAGCCAAGATTGCACCACTGCCCTCCAGCCTGGGTGACAGAGCAAGACTCTCGCTAAAAAAAAAAAAAAAAAGAATTTCACTGTGTAGCCCAGCCCCGGTGTAGCCTTTCCAGGGCTCAGGGAGGCTTTTGTTTGGTCCCTGATGGAATGCCAGTTGCTAAAACTGTTGAAGTTGCCCTTTCTTCTCACATTCTCTCACCCCAGGTATACTGCTACCACGGCAAAATCACCGTCATTTTTTAAAATTATGGTAATTTACCTGTAACATTACCTTAACGATTCATAAGTGTACAGTTCAGTAGTGTTAAGTACATTCACATTGTTATGCAGCCAGTCTCCAGAACTCTTCATCTTGCAACAAGTAAAACCGTGGACCCATTAATAGCAACTCTATTTCCCTCCTCCCAGCCCCTAGCAACCACCAGCCTTCTGTCTCCATGAGTTTGACTGCTCCAGATAGCTCAAATAAGTGGCGTCATATGCTATTTATCGTTTTATGACTGGCTCATTTCATATGATGTCCCCAAGCTTAAGTCCCTGTTATTTCTAACCCTGGCCTCCTGCGATTTGAAGAGGCTGCTGAGGTTGGTCTCTCTGCCCACAGAGCTTGTTGTGGGTTTTGCTGTAGACTTGAAGCCACCCTTGATCCAAGCTTCTCCTGGCCTTTCTCACAAGACTGTCCCCAGTGTTTTGCCATGTACGCTTCCAGGACTAATGCCATACCAGCAATTTGCATCTGCTTCTGCACATTTTACCTTCAATTCGCTTCAGTTACCACCTGGTACATGGCATCGTAATGGACAGAGAATACCAAAGGCCTATCATTAACCATTTTGCAAAATAAATTCTTTTTTTTCCCTTTTTTTGAGATGGAATTTCACTCTTGTTGCCCAGGCTGGAGTGCAGTAGTGTGATCTTGGCTCACTGCAACCTCCACGTCCCAGGTTCAAGCAGTTCTCCTGCCTCAGCCTTCCAAATAGCTGGGATCACAGGCATGCACCACCACACCTGGCTGATTTTATATTTTTAGTAGAGATGGGGTTTCACCATGTTGGCCAGGCTGGTCTCAAATTCCTGACCTCAAGTGATCCATGTCCCTAGGCCTCCCAAAGTGCTAAGATTACAGGTGTGAGCCACCACACCCAGCCGCAAAATAAATTCTTTTGTTGAGATCTAACCATTGTAAAAAGGATACTGTCTGCAGTTCACTGAGCACCGGCAGTGTATGCAATGTGTTGTCTCATTGAGGCTTCACTTTTTGACTTGGGGGCATTCCCATTTCATAGACAAGGAGCTGTAGACTCAGAGAGCCAGGGGTGGAAGAGGAATAGGTGCAGCGGCTCTGCATGAACCCAGAACCCGGCCTCTAAGCCCTCTTCTGAGCTGGATGAGGGCCCAGAACCTGGCCTCTAAGCCCTGGTCTGAGCTGGATGATGGCTTCATGGTGTCAGGAGGGCCCCTTGGTTCTAGACCGTGGCAGATAATTGAGAGAGCCTTAGAAGAGACTGGAACACCTAGGCTACTTCTGCTCAGTTCTTGATCATTAAGAGCTTTACAATTAATAAATTATATTATAAAATTAATATAGTTATATCTAGTATATAATTTATAGATTACATATAGAAGTTATACCTATGTAATACAGTTTTATATTATAAAATACAAATTATATTGCAAAGATAATTAAATTCTTGATAATGTTGAATCCCAGCTTTGGCTTTTCCTCTATTTCTGAGGGTTTTTTTTTTCTTTTGAGATGGAGTCTCACTCTGTCACCCAGGCTGGAGTGCAGTGGCGTGATCTCAGCTCGCTGCAACCTCTACCTCCTGGTTTGAAGCAATTCTCCTGCCTCGGCCTCCCGCATAGCTGGGATTACAGGTGCCCACCACCATGCCCTGCTAATTTTTGAATTTTTAGTAGAGACAGGGTTACACCATGTTGGCCAGGCTGATCTCAAACTCCTGAGCTCAGGTGATCCGCCCACCTCCGCCTCCCAAATTGCTGGGATAACAAGCATAAACCACCATGCCCAGCCTATTTCTGAGGGCTTTTTAAAAGCTGAACTCACCCTACATGCCCCCTAGATCCACTTGGTGGGTGCTCAATTAAAGGAAGGCTTTTCTTTCCCTTGAGCCATCGTTCTGGTGATAGCCCTTTTGAGGCTGAAGCTCCAGCATCCCTGATACTCTTGCATTGCATATGCCTCAATTGACTCTTTAAATGTTTCTCAGACTTTTTTTTAACTTCAAGTTCTGGGGTACATGTGCAGAATGTGCAGATTTGTTACATAGGTATACAGGTGCCATGGTGGTTTGCTGCATTCATCCCCCTGTCATCTACATTAAGTATTTCTCCTAATGCTATCCCTCCCCTAGACCCCCACCGCCCTACAGGCCACGTTGTGTGACGTTCCCCTCCCTGTGTCCATGTGTTCTCATTGTTCAACACCAACTTATGAGTGAGAACATGCAGTGTTTGGTTTTCTGTTCTTGTGTCAGTTTGCTGAGAATGATGGTTTTCTGCTTCATCCACGTCCCTGCAAAGGACATGAACTCATCGTTTGTTATGGCTGCATAGTATTCCATGGTGTATATGTGCCACAGTTTCTTTATCCAGTCTATCATTGGTGGGCATTTGGGTTGGTTCACTAAATCCCAGTCTGGTGCTGGTAACTCTGAGGGAGGGATCCGTTGCTTTCTGCTGCCCCCAGTGTAACCTTTTAAGACTGTTTTCTGTAGGGTGGAAGTAGCTCCCAGCATGTGGGGTTAGACCTGAGAACCTCAGACCCCAGGCTGCCAAGCCCAGCTTCCAGGTTTCAGTGGAACTGTACCCAGCCTAAAGTGAGAGGGCCACTCAGGGCTTCTGCTCCAGTCTGGGGACAGCTTCCCCATCGAATACTTTCTAGAGGGAACCTGGCCTCTTCCATCATAGCACTCCTGTCCCTGTGTGATGGTGTTTCGTGGTAGGGACTCAAATAATAGAACGAGTGTGCCCAGAGAATCGTGGCTTCTGGTCCAGTCATTTTGGGGGAAAACAACAAAACAAAAACATGGGTGGGTTCTGTTTAAAAGTAGTTTGCTCGATATATTTTGTCACACTGTTGGTTCACTAAAATAGATTCTTATTTGTGTTGGGTTGGGAGTAAGAAGTCAGTGTGATTCATTTGGCTTTTAATATGCTGTGCACGTTCACGTCATACTTGTTATTGAATTTTTCAATGAACGTCTTGGCTGACCGCTTATATGGGGCAATCTGCAGAGTAATATATGTATTGATTCTGGCAGAAGCGCCACCTGGTTGTGCAGAAATCTCCGAGTGATGCATAGTAGAAGTTTGTCCACACTCTACCCATGTCCCTCACACAGTGTCTTCTTGGCAGAGTAAAATTGGGGAACCTTTCGGAATTTCTCACCACATCGTTCTACACATATCTGACTTTCCTGGATCCAGACTGTGATGAGAAGTTGTTTGACTATGACAGCGAAGGGACTTTTAGTCCTGATAGTGATTCAGATTTGGGAGGATATCGGGAAGACACCTATAATCAAGGTACGGCTTGGAATGCTTTTGTAGACAGTTTGCTAAATTTATTTAAACTTTAGCATTGTGATAAAATTGCCCTAAGACTCAAATACAATTATAATTAAAAACAAGGAAAAACAAAACAAAAAAGAGGCTTCTGAAACTTCCACATATTAAAATGAATAAAATGCCAGTTTAAAAACCTAAAATGCAAATGATGTCCTTAAAAGTGGGGCATTTTTAAACCTAGAAGGACAAAGTGTTTCAGGAATGGGGACTTTTTTTTTCTTTTTCCCTTTTTTCTTCTTCTCTTCTTTTTTTTTTT